GTTCAATAATAGATCTCAATAATGGCGGTTATGTTCACTATTCCTATCCGCTTATTTTGCCGTGTAATTGCATATGCTATCGACTCAAGTTGCTAATTCTGTGTCATCGTAAATATGATTGGCTGGATATCGTAGTTTTGTCATCGTAATCGTAAATAATTATTTGTATTCTTAATCAAAGTCGATTCACTTTGATTAAATCGAACGAAAGAACCGCCTTTTTGGTTTATTTAAAGCACGTCTTGTATTATGGTTATTATCATTGTTATTGTTATTGTTATTATTATTATTATTACTATTATTATTACTATTATTGTTATATTATCATTATCATTATTACTATCATCACTAGTAGTAGCATTGTTATTATCATCATTGTAATTATTATCATCAAGATCATCTCCAACCCCATCATCATCATCACCACCATTACTCCTCCCACTATTTTCCGGAAACAAACCCACACACGCAAGACAATAAAGTTTATGACTGCCACGATCAGCCTTCGATTACCCTCATTAATCAGGATTATTCTCAACATCATCATCATCACTAGTTGCTGAACCGACTTCCCCCCCCCCTCCCCCCCACAGATTATTGACATCGACATCAATCTTCCTCGGACTTCAATTTCCACGTTGACTTCAGGCACGTCACGTGATCGTCACTTCTTATTTCTTCGTATTATCGTTCTGTCTTTTTTTTTCCCCTATCTTCGTTTCTCTTTTTTCTTTTTCTTCTTTTTCTTTTATATTTCTGATTATTTCGGTTACTTCTTCAATCTCCTTCGTCCTTTTCTTCTATATTTCTGATTATTCCAGTTCCTTCTTCATTCTCCTCCTCCTCTTCCTCCTACTTCTTCTTCTGATTACTTCATTTCCTTCCTCATTCTCCTTCTTCCTTTTTCTTCTTCGATTACTTCAATTCCTTCCTTATTCTTCTTCCTATTCCTCTCCCTCTTTTATTCTCATCCTTCTCGTGTTCCTTCCCGAAGCATCCGAGGCATTTCCAGCCCCGGTTCTCCCCCCCCCATCCCCCCATCTCTAACCCCCCCCCCCCCACCCGCGAGTCGCCAGCTTTAGGTTTCCCGCAATGTTGCTCTGCATTATTATTGTTGCTCTGCATTATAATAATTTTTCTCCATTTTTTTATATATTCTTTTTATTGTTATAATTATCAACGTTTTTTTCTCTTTTTTTTCTGAGAGGAAGAAAACGGTAAAGCTGTTTTTTTCTCTTCTTTTTTTCTAGGGGGGAGAGGGGGAGGGGGAGGGTGGAGTGAGTCATGACTGGAGACGATTTTCGAAATTTATAAGATGGACGAGAAAGTTAAATTTTGAATCTATAGGGGTTATCCGAGGATTGAAAAGGCGGGATGTCTGTATTGGTCTTATTTATTTATTTATTTATTTTTTCAGCGTTAAAGTATTTTCCCTTTTTTCGAGAGGTGGAAATTGGAAGGCGGATTTTTTTTAGTGTGTTTGTTTGTATTTATTTGTGGTTGGTTTGTTTGTTTGTATGTGCGTGTACGTATGCGTGTGCGTGTGTGTGCGTGTGCGTGTACGTTACCGCAGGGGAACGATTTTCGAGATCATAAGATGAAAAGTGATAAAAGTGATCCTAAGGCTAAAGAAAAAAAGTGATACTAAAGTTAAAGAAAAAGAAAAGAAAAGTGATCCCAAGGCTAAAGAAAAATAAAAAAGACATAAAAGGTAAAAAAAAAAAAAAAAAAAAAAAAAAAAAAAAAAAAAAAAGGTAACTCAACGCCACACACCCTCAAAAAAAAAAAAAAAAAAAAAAAAAAAAAAAAAAAAAAAAAACGCCGACTAGCCCGGGTGTGTCGGCTTATGAATACATGCAAGACACACTTACAAGCAATAGTACAAAAGCATCAGGGATCTTTAAAGCACAAATAGGAGGGGCCGTGCGATGCAAAGGAGGCGAGATTGCAGCTGCAGGAGCAAACGGGCGGCCTCAGGAATGCCGTAAAAAACACACCTGAGGGAAGGCCCTGCTGCTCGGCTCCGCGCCCGGATCAGGCTGCGTCTCCCTTCATTTTTTCTCTCTCCATCTCTCTCTCTCTCTCTCTCTCTCTATGTCTCTTTCTCTCTCTCTCTCTCTCTCTCTCTCTCTCTCTCTATGTCTCTCCATCTCTCTCTCTCCCTCTCTCTCATCAATTAAACACTTCATGTAGTGCAATTTCTTCCTCTTCCTTCATTTTCTTTTTCATCTCCTTCATGCCTCTTCTTTCATTTTCTTCTTCATCATCTCCCTTTCCCTCTCTTCTTTCATTTTCTTCCTCCTCCTCTTCTATCCACTTCCTTCCTCCAACCACCTCCACCGAACTCCCTTATCCTCCTTCTTCCTTCATTCCTTCCTTCTTTCTCTCCTTCCAAAAACACTCTTCCACATCTTTCCCCAACACTGTTTTTTTCTTTTCCCTTTTCTTTTCCTTTCCTTTTCCTTTTTCTTTTCCCTTTTCTTTTCCCTTTTCTTTTTCT